GGGGCCAGGGCACGTGCTCCCTCCCCCCCCGCTTCGACGGTCTAGCCGTGGCCACTCCCACACTACGATGAGGTGCCTGGGTCGGGATTTTGTGGGAGCCCTCACAAAGATGAAGGGAGAATAACCTAGAGCTGTCGACTGTGAACCCGGAGCTCTACTTCTTGACCTAACGGACGTGGAGAATAAAATGCTTTGTTAGTCATCTTTGCCTTTGGCGCATTAGCTCATCGGTTAACGATTCATTAAAAAATTTCAAGGTTAAAGAAAATATATTCTCCGTAGCTTTTGGTAAGTCCAACAGTCCGGTCCGGTCTGGTCCGGTCCAGTCTGATCCGATCCCATTCTGGAGGATCAGAAAAAGTACTAAGTAAGAGAATGCTTGGCAGCGTGAAGCACAGTGAAGTACTTCCTTCAACCGCCACGATTGCCGTGTAGGCCTGGCATAAGGCTTGAAACAGACGGCTAACGAGGCTTTGGTGATTCCCTTTCAAGCTACTGACCCACTCAGTGAACTTCTATCCTGACTATAGAGACCATACAGAATTGTCATTTTACCGAATTATATTGATAACGAACATGTAAATCAGACCAACTATAAACATGAATATCGATAAACTGCAAAAAGAATGAGAAAATCTGCGCTAAGTGTCAAATGCATTTTAATATGTGGAATGTGCGTGAGTTAAACAAAAAATTAAACAGACCTGATTGGACTGCAATGGCTGCAGACATCACCAACCAGAGACATTATGCTTATGCAAATGGCTCAAATTGACTATTTCTAAGAACAAGCACAACAGCAACAGACAAGAAGCTGCAATGCAAGAAATTCACCGGCTTAAAACGGGCGTTGTGACTGTCTGAAATTATAGTCTCTATTTTGCAGGCAATACAACAGAAGTTCAAGCAGCAAGAAATTGAAGTCACTGTCTAGAATCCATCTGTACTGCCTAAAATTTATTTTCTCGTCCTCATTGCAGGTAGCTGACAGCGATAAAACGAATTGGTCGATTGGTGAC